CCTTTTTTTTTTTTTTTTTGTTACGTTGTTAGCTTTACTTTTTGAAAACGGAACTGTAGGTCAAATTTTTTTCCTCCTTTTGGTTTTCAGATTTTGGAGGAAAATAATTAGTGGCAAATTCTTCATGTTTTCTTACTCATTAAAATTCAAATTGTGAGCTCTATCTATACAGGTAGCTTCAAAATAAGATTTCTATATTAATAACTTTCTGCTTTATGTGTTAGAGATATATAAAATTGCATGGATCTAAGATACCAAACTGATAATATGATATATAATTTGATAATGTGATACATGATGTGGCCACTTACCCTCTTTTTCTTGGAATCTTGATGGACCCATAATTTCTGTTTCTCTTGTTGTTCTGTCACGGGGTTTGGTGCTATGTTGCGTGGGATCCTACTGCGTTGATTGCCTTGAGTCTGTCTTTTTAACATCTTCTTTTTTTGTGATATATAATGCACATACTGAAAAATTTACCCTGCCCTGAGTCTTGGGTGCAAAGATTTACAAACCCCTACAGGGATAATTGACCTTGGCCTCGTATAACATACATTTTAAACTGGTGGACCAAAGGCAACTTTTAAAATCTAGTGATTATATTTCGTGTAAAGGAAACTCAATATATTAAAGTTAAATTTTACCCCAAAGCTTAATTAGATGTGACTGCTTTACAGAATATTTCTTCCTTTTGGTCATACTAATCTAAAATTCTTTGAAGTAGCCGGCTCAGTTTTTAATCTTTTAAAAATAGAATTCTATTTGCATAAATTCACCTTCTATGAACTTCAGTGTCAAATATTGTTTCATCATGTGAAACAAGGTTTTTATGTTTTTTACAGAGATTATCTTCTGTTGTATTATTCTATTTTTAAAAACTGTATCCAGGAAAGTATTTGTATTTTAAAGTTAATACTATTAAAAATCATTTACTTGGGGGTTGTGATCAGATTATGTGGGGCTGTGGATGCTTTTTGATTTAATTTATTGCTTCTGACTTTAATTTCAATACTAGAACCTTGTTGGAACTGTTCATAAAGATAAGTTATTCATTTGATTATGTTGCTTTCAAAGATTATTTGGTAACTATGTAAAAACCCTTTTAATGTACTTTTCTTTCAAAGGATGGTAAACCATTATATTGAACAGGAATGCTTTTACAGACTTAATGAAAATTGTTTGAAAAGTGTGCAGCTGGTTTTATTTGAGACTCAAATGGTACAGCTTGTAAATAATATTTATGCTGAACTGTATTTATAACTAATGTTATTTACAGTTGGAAATAATATTTATGCTGAACTGAGTCAGGTTTTTCTGTTGGACTTAAAAAACACTCATGCAGATAGCACTGATTTTCAAATTAAAATACTGTAAACACATAGTAAAAAATTTAACAGAGCGCTTCTATGTATTGGTCCACTGTAAGCACCGTAAAAGAAGACTTTTATTTATTGCTATGCTCCTAAAGCATAGAGCAGTGCCTGCACAAAATACACGCTCAAAACATATTTCGGGAATGGATTACTATCTAGTTTGGAAATGTATTTCTGACTTAGTACTTTTGTATGAATCCTGTTACCAAAATCTATAGATTGGATTCATTTGTATTTGCAGTTTATTGAATAAGCTTAAGTTTTTTGTTGTTTATACTGCTTATTTACCTGGAAAACAAAGCTGTTAAAGACAGTGTTTTCATTTATATGCCTCTCGTATGGGAATAATTTTGTAGAATTGTGAGTTCTTTCATTAAAGAATAAAATCTGCCCTGGCCAGTTTGGCTCAGTGGTTGGAGTGTCAGTCAGCTTACCCAAGGGTCATGGGTTCGATTTCCATTCAAGGGTACATGCCCGGGTTGCAGGTTAGGTCCAGCCCAGCCCCAATGGGGCCTGTGCTGGAATTGGCTAGTCGGGTGTGTGTGTGTGCGTGTGTCTGTCTGTCTGTCTCACTCTCACTCTCACTCATCAGTGTTCCTCCCTCCTCCCCCTCTCTCTAAAAATCAGTGGAAAAAATATCCTCTGGTGAGGATTAAAAAAAAATAACATCCAGGGTGGATAATGGTTTGCTTGAGGCAAATAAAAAATGTTTCTTGACCAGTTGCCTACAGCTGATGAGCTCCAGTAAGAGCGAAACCAGTTCTCACTCCACTGAAACAGTTTAGAAGTGTGAATTGGTCCTGTAGTATTGTGTCAGAAACAAACTACTCTGGGGGGAAAAGTGCTGAATTAAGAGGATTTTGTGACTGTGCTGTTTTAAATACTACAGTATTTTTCCCTAATTATTGTTGCTAAAAGTCAAATAATCTATGTTATTTTTTACCTCCATAAAGCAAAAGAGACTGTAAACCTGTGATTGTAATCGCTT